AGGTGTAAGCTAATAAAGGAACTATACTGGACTGCACTGCCTCATCATTGTTCTTGGGCTGGGCCTGACACTTCCTTTGGACATATATGATGAATACCTTTTGCTGTTCATAGCATCTTTCACTAACCTCAACTCATTCTCAGCTTTAGCTTTACTGACACCATCTGTGCAAATCTGGGTGACCCATATGTTCCCTTCTTTGTGATATGACATGCTTTTCCACCTTTATGTGCCCCTTTTTCAAAAGGCGTTCAGATCTTCATTAAACTTTATGCACGGATACACGGCCTCTTTTGCCAATGTCATGATCCGACTTAGATAAAAGAAAAGAGTTCAATAAGTTTTGTGCTCACGTCCACAGAACAGCCGCTCTCCCCCCAAAGTGGAGAGGCAGAGATGGAGAGGCAGATCAGACCTTTCAATTCAGGAATTTTAATATTAGACACCAGTGTAGGAACTGCTAGGGGCACCGTGAACCAAGAAATTTGGGAAACTATGCCCTATAGCAATAAAATATAGATCCAGTCAAACTTGTGAAGTCAGTTTCCTGGTCTAGCCAATCAAAAAGGGCGAAGGGATTATGCTTATCCAGACACAAATCCGCACTGCTTCCGTGCTGGCTGAGAATTCTGGGCACTAGTTCCCAAGTACCTCTGGAGGTCCCATCCATTGCAAGCAAGACTGGGGCGAGGAGGAGAAGCGGGAGAGAAAACAAAATTCAGTTTTCTTACCTGGAGGCAAGAAGAGGGCTCCCCGGACCCGGCCTGACTTAACTGGGATGCGTTCCACTCCAGGGGCTACATACCATCGTTCCACAGTGCAAGTAGCCAGTGGTTCTTCCGTGGGCAGGGGCAGAATCACAGAGGAGTTAAAGAGGCTAATTTGAACATAGAAGGGGCTGCCTGTCACATCACGTTTGACCAGTCTGTGGAACATCTTCTCAGCCTTTAGACAGTAGAAGAGGCCCATGGGCCACACTCCCGTGTAGTTGCCTCCCAGAGCAGACGCCTGTGCCACGTCCACTTCTCCATTCTGGTTGGCTTGGTAAAAGGCTCTGGCCGCAAACTTCACTCCTCTTTCATCTGTCAGTGATGCATATAAGGTCACAAGCTGGGAGGGGGCCAGGCCAGAGGCATAAATCTTCACTGATGAGTCAGCAAGGGAGACTTCAGGAGTGACACTGAGGTGGACCATGGCAGCCAGCTCTTGAGAATACCTGGGGAAAGCTAACAAGTCAGGTCCCTAGTCATGTAAATTTGGGACTTGTTCAGTCTCCCTTACCTCTTCCCTCTCAAGCCACGCTGGCCCTCAATCTGTGGCCAACGTGTTATCTGTTTTGCCTTGCCAGTCCTGCTCTCAGCGTTGCAGTGCTGAAGCACGTGGGATGTTTCAGGGGTGTCTATTTCATTAAGTTGTCCGGACAGTTCTTAACCTGAGAACCCAGCCCTGGGACCAAATGGAGGATTTTATAATTGCTCCTAAGTTTGGTGTTGGATGCCAGCAAGCTTTGCACTTTGCTGCCAACTTAAGCTGACTTACTGTTGACTCAATAGATGCTAGTTTGCATCCAGACGCAGCTGTCAGCCCCCCCCCCGCCCCCGTTTCTTTGGATATATGTACTGTATGTTGGACAAAAAGGGTAATCTTGTCTAGATTCCTTTCATTGTCTAGACTATTTTTTCTTCTTACAAAAAATCCAACTAAGAAAGAATCTATAATGTCACCTTTTGATTTGGGGGAAAACTCCTGCTGCCTACTAAAGGCCATTTTAATATCCTGGATTTCATCACTGATTTCATTTCTTAGTGGAGAAAAAACCCAAGAATTTCTATTGAAAGCAGAACCAAGAAGACAACTCATACATTTCTAGGCTCACGGACATGCATCCCTAAGGCTGTAAAATCTTCCTCTCCTTTCCATGAGAAATATCCACCAGGTTGTAAATCATTATCGCCTTTAGGTACTAGTCTCCTTCACTGCCTAACTTCCTCAGCTGTGTGGGATGTTCATGCACCCCTGCAAAGCACTGCAAATTTCAGGCTGGTGCTACTACTATGCAGAAAAAGGAAGCTGCTTCGTGCAACTAGCTGGGAGGTCAAGAAGGACCAGCACATTTACAATGTATTGCACAGGTTTGTGCAAATACTTGATTTACATCTCTGAATCAGCTCATCAATTCAAATACATCTGATTTTATCTATTTGGGATAACTTTTGTGTATGTGCACCTACAAGTCCCTAATTTCCTTCAGATCAGTTTGCACTGATCATCACTTTAACAACACTTTTGCGTCAGTGTTGTTAAAACCAGCAGGAGGAAAAGGGAACAATAAGCAGCTTTGGGTACACACCTTGTTTGCCTGGAATCCTATTTCTGCAGCCAGTTCCTAACTTGACCAGGTGTTTTTATTGTTCACTGACAAGAATAGGTCAAGATATATAAACAAACTTGCATTTCAACTGTTCTTAAGAGGAGTTCCTCCCTCCCGCGCAACAGAAGAGGGGAGGAGAAAGCGAGCGCCCGGCTCTGCCTGATGACAGAAGCTGCCTCGTGCAGCCACCTTCTCACCTGCTTCCCTCAACCGTAATGGAAAGGCACAGTCCAATTCGCTCTCTCCAGCCCGCAAGAAGTACAATGCCTTTCAGTTCCGAGCAAGGCCGGCCCCACCAGCTGACGGCTAAGGAAAAATATACTGTACGCAGAACTCTTTCCCACACTTCTCTCCGGAGCAAACAGTGCCTCAAAGAGAAGCCAGCGAGGATTTCGGAAGATAAGGAGCTGGATCAGCATGACATGACTGGAGCTAATTCTCAGGGCGATGTAAAAGTTGGAACGGAGTTTAATAGACTGGAACAGGCAGTTTTAGAAATAAATGGGAACAGTGAATAGAATAGAAATCTTTATTGTCATTGTACTACTTGTACAACGAAATTAAATGCCACCCCAGTGCAGCTTTAAAAATATAAAAACCATAAAACACATAACACACATAACACACATAAAACACAACCTTCACATTCCATATTGCACAACCCCTATTCTGTTTGCTATTGTATTCTGTTTGCTATTGTTCACCGCTCAGTCACTTTACAAAATGATTAAATACTGTTTTTAACCCTTTAATGCCTTAAAATATGTCTAAAACAAGGCAGAACTGCCCGGAACACCCACTCTGAAACAGATGAAACTCCCCAGTTATGTGCAGCAAGAAAGCAGTGACTCCAAAAGAGCCCACATTTCACTTCTGGTTTCAGACAAAAATCACCATTTTAGGAAGCAGTCAAAAATATTATTTCTTACTCAGCTAAACCAATTAATCTCACCAGACATATAGTGGACCAGAAGGCCTTAATGCGGAAAGAACCAAGCTCCTACCAGAGAAGTATATTCTCAGTAAAAATCTGTATTTTCTCAAAATGGCCCATCTAGCCAAACTAACGAAATTCACAGTCACATATAATAAATGACATTGATGAAAAAAGTTTCAAAAGTTCCATGAAAACAATGGTCCCCAACATATTCCAGGCAAAATCCTGTATTTTCCAAAAATAGCACAGAATGACCACTTCCCCACCAACCCAGCCAAACAATTGAATAGTCACAGTGGATCACAGGACCTTAGTGGAATAAGATACAAAAACATTCTTCAGAAAACTGTATATTTTGGAAGCTATTTGGAACAATACCCCACTCAGCCAAAACCAACTCACACTTTAGATAAGAACAAATGACCTTGTTGTACTATGAACCGAACATCCAAGGGAACCACAATTTTGCCCTCTATTCTGGGCAAAATAACATGAATGGATTTTCTGATGAATGAAAATTTGCCTAATTATACTTTACTCATTAAAGAGAACGTACTTTCCCAGGCTGTTTTGAATATTACTTCAAGGTACTCCTAATCTGTTGCGTTTGGCTGATTATGAAGTCTGGGCAGCTGCTTCTGCATGGGAAGCAGATTTCAATCTAGTCCCTTCTCCTTTTCTGAAGCAGGTAGTTTTGATTAGTTTGGTTGATTAGGAAGTTGGCATTTTGCGTAGTTTTCTAAACGACACACTTTTATTTGGAATAAGTAATAGAATCTGATCATTTCTGTCATAAGGCTTTTTTTTCCCCCAATTGAGCAGCTGTTTCATAAGCTGGCTGACATAATAGTGTTCCTATGGAAGTTCTAATTCTTCTAGTCTTACTACTGTATTGGGTGACCTGAAATGGCTGTGAGATACAAGTATCTTTGTTTCAGGTGAAGTGGTTAATAAAAGTTCAGTATGGAAGGGCTGACAGTTCTTAAATATCGTTTCTATTTATCTTCAATGTATTGCAGAGCATCAGTCTACTTCAGGCTATTCTGCTTTTATCCTTGTTTCAATGTCATCTCTTTCTGCTTCATTTGAAGTTTAGAGCCATAGACAAGGAGATTAAAGGGGGGACAAACGGTTCTAGATTATCAGTTCTCCACACCACAACTCCAGACCAATTTTTAGCTTCCCAAAAGATCATCTGTAATCAGAAATTGCAAGTCATGCCTCAAAAGGCTTAAATTCACTTCTGCACTTAACAGCATAAAACTGAGAATCTATTCCCATTTTGATAATATTCATGGCATTTGATCATTCTTAATCTCCTCATCCTGATGAAGAAAGGGAGATCAGGATGCATCCCACAACTTCATTTTTTCTAAAATCCAGAAAGGGGCCTGGAGGATCAATTTTAATATAAAAAGGATATGGAAGTAAGTGGAATATAAATGAGGAATCCTGTATGCCTGCTACTTAACGGTCTTCTTGGCAGATTCCCACCTGCACTTTTCATGCTGTAAAGGTCATTGACAGCATTACTGCTAAACTAAGCATCTTTTCCAAACAACTTCCTTTATGGCCCTTAGACTACCTATCGTGTTCTGTTCTACATATGGAGACCCCTGAGAAAAGAAAAATTTCCTTGACTTTTGAAGTAACACTCTCATTCTCCCATGATAATTCTTCAAGATGGTTGGCCCTGCTATTATTGCATCTCCATACGCTTCATCCCCTACAATCCTGTCAACTTTCATGGCCTCAAAGACCAAGTTCCTTTGGTTCCTAAAATGAAGGCTAAGCACACTTTCTCTATTTCTATCCACCCTGAGCATGATACTAAATAGCTCTTACAATACCTTTCTACTGTACTTTATCACTGATTTTTTAAATTACATTTGTTTAGCTTGAGAGCTGCTTTCTTATCAGAAGGTGGGGTGGGGGGAGAAGAGAAGAAGCATCTCTTCTGAACACTTCAGACTATGGCTTTTTTATGCTGCCTTTCTGTTTGCAATGAATACTTCATGTGCCTTTTAGTTTAACATTAAAACCACAGGTTACAAAACAACACAGTATCAAATAAATAAAACAGGGCAATGAACTTTCTTACCTGTTTAGCTAAGTGGTGAAACTTCCCCAGGGAGGTTGTGATACCTCAGTTCAGCTGTCCTCCCATTCAAGCCCTAGCTGCTGCTCTCACCCTGGACCGTGAGCACCCTAAGAAAGTATGACCTCTTCAGCGGAAGAGCTACCAGCTGTACCATAAATTAGATCCGTCACTCAATCTACACCACAAAAACTCTTCCCATGAGAAAGTGGTTCCCAAAATTGCCTGCAAGTTCTGACAAAGATCCCCAAACTCACCTCTCTCCTGGGCTTTTTCACAGAAACAGCAAGCTTTCAAGTCTCTCTGCTTGCTGTTCCTGTTTGTCTGCCTGGGATCCAAGATCTTCTAAATGCCTCAATTTGTAAATGTAAAGCCCAAGAATGAAGACTTTGCTCCTGCAACTGATGAACATGGTCTGTTTATATTGGGTTATCATAAGCCATTTAGTGGCAATCATTAACTGAAAGGCATAGACTATGTTTAATTCACCTATTGTAAAATATAGTCTGACTGAGGGGACAATGGCCTTTCCTTCTTACTCTGTACCTTTTAAACTTAGCTTACTCCTAGATCCCCACATTTTTACAGCTCTGTTTGAACTGTTTCTTGAGGTCATCATATTTATGAGAGAGCAGGCTGGGAGATATGAAACTATGTCTCTAAACATTACAGACAACACTGTATACATTATTATAGTATCATACAAGCACAGCACTGATTGTAGAGTTAGAATGTTTTCATTTTAAATATAAAATTTCTAAGCTTTAATGTTGAGTTGTGTAGATACAAAAGACATTTTGCACTGAGCTGGATTCTAGAGCTTGAAGATTGTTATTTATTTTTTTATATTTTATTAAGACTTCTTGAGCCATGGAAATTCTGCCAAATCTAAAATACCTTTCAGCTACTTCTGTTGCTTCTGAGATATCGACTCACTCATTATGAATGTGATCAGAGACTTGGTTTTGTGTTATTTCTTTTTTAATGAAAACTCAGGCGGTTAATTCTGCAACTGTTGCTACAGTTATTCGGAGCTCCATAAACTTGTTCACTATCATGCATTAAAGTCTGGAAAAAAGTATCATAAGCATAGTGATTGCCAATAGCCAATAAATGGAGCTTAAATATCCTATATAAGATGGAAATATCAATTGCCTTGAGTCCCCAAGTAGGAGGGATGAAAAATGGATTAAAAAAAATAGTAACAGCTCTTTAGCCAACCTCTGGACTAACAGGAAAATAAAGCCACACAAAATTAATATGAATGAAACAAAGTATACACAACCTTGCCTACAGTAATCAAGACTGTGTATTATGGTAGTTTTGGTGTGCTAAGGACTGCATATACAGGTAGTCCTTGTTTAGCCCCTTAAGCCACTTAACCTCTTAAACCAGAATTGGGACCAGCAACTTGTTTGTTAAGCAAAGCAGTCTCTAAGAAACTGTGCTTATGATCTTGCTTCAGCTTTCCTTTGCTTTACAAACCTGTGAAGGTCGTAAATGTGAAGATTGGTCGTAAGGTTACTCTTTCATCACTGTCATAACTGCAAATGGTCACTAAATGAGGCAGTCACTAAACAAGGTCTACCTGTAATCATTCATACAAGAAAAGAATCCTGAAATATAAATAGGATCATACTTACTGTATGAAAGCCAGTCTGGTGTAGTGGTGAAGGTGCTGGCCCAGAAACTAGGAGATTGTGAATTCTAGGCCTGCCTTAGGCATGAAAGCCGGCTGGGGGACTTTGGGCCAATCACTCTCAGCACAACCCACTTCACAGGGTTGTTGTGGGGAAAATAGGAGGCAGGAGTATTAGGTATGTTTGCTGCCTTGAGTTGACCAAAATAAACAAACGAATAGATGGGATAAAAATATAATAATAATAATGGTAAACAAAATAATATTGTTTATCAGGGCTGGTAATAAGACAATGGCATCAAATCTACCTGCCTGAGAAACTCAACTTTCATTTAATAAATAAAAATGGGCAATCATCTGGATCTATGATTATCCTCTGTGGGAAAAAAAAAACTAAGCATGGGAGTTGCCAAACTGTAAGTAGATACCTACAATAGTCACTGTTAAGAAACAATTACTGCTATGCAAATAATATAATTCTTGCTATTAAAACACATTAAGAAATTCCTCAGGCTGTCTTGAGGGAAGAGGCCAAAAGAAGCAAGAAGTTAAACCGGTTTTCACTTGTGCCTAATAGCTTGTATGAACTGGCCCCAGGTTTCTAGACCTCATTTTTAAAGTTTGAAAGGTACAACTAGCATTTGCTTCTACACTCAGAGGCTAAATTTTAATATTCTGGGAAACAGCAGACTTGCACAATAATCTGTTCTTTATTTTAATATTCTCATTATCTTTCATTGCTTCTAGTAAAAAAAGAGTAAATGCCATTTTTTAAAATGTGATAAATAATATCACACTTGTCCAGAAAATGCTATGTATGTATGAATTCAGTCATATGTAGCTTGGCCATTCTCAAGCGACAGACTAACCTTTGAGCAATAGCCACAGATGCTCAAAGCAATCACCTTCACATTGCACCCTTTGTTTGTGTAAAACCTTTGTGTATTGTTCAACCTAGCCTAGCCCAACTGATAACATTGCCATAAGTAGATACAACTTTTTTTTATTTTGAATAATTCTCTACAATAAAAGGAATTCTCCTGAAAGTAATTATTTTAGCATGCTGGTTTAAGAATTTGCAGAGAAATTTCAAATCCTGTATATCCCATAGGCAAAACCAGAAGGAACATCAAATTTTATACATTATGGTTTATATATGTTAAATACCTCAAGCTACATATATTCATATAAGTACTGAGCAATATAATCACAATTAGTTGTTTTTTTAATTGATAGAAACAAAGGTTTTATACTTCCACATTTATACAACAATGGGTGCAACCCAACAAATCTTTTGCTGTAAGACTGCTTCCTTGATGGAGAACAGCTGACAAGGAAGAGCAGGATAAAAAAAAAAAACGAAGAGTGTGATTTGGATTACTTTTTCTTACAATACTCAAATGTCTAGTCTTTATAAAAAGATTTAGTTGAAAATGTATTTCAATATCAGTAACATTTCCCTTTATTTATTTATATTTCAAATTTGTCACCACTCATCTCACTGCAGAGCAATTCTGGGTGGTTTATAGTAAAAAGAATAAATATTAATTAAGATAGAATAATATTAATTAAAATACATTACAACAAGATTCCTATATAAATAATAAATATCTTCCAAGAAACTGATGTTAACTAGGAGTTATTAGACTCAGGGAGCGTCTTCAAGGCACCAGCCACCCCCAGGGTTGATTTTATCCCTTCTTGCCCCATGCGAATTGGCAGAGTCAGGTCATTATCCCTTTCCGGAAGGCCAGGAGAGTGGGGCCCGTCTCACCTCCGGGGGAAGAATGTTCCATAGGGCAGGGGCAATGACAGAGAAGGCTCTCCTCCCGGGCCCCACCAGTCAACATTTGTTTTGTAGATGGGTCTGTAACATACCTTCTCTGCCAGACCGGGTGGGACGGGTCAATGTAATGAGGATGAGACAGTCCCTCAGGTAGCCTAGCCCCAAACCACGTAGGGCTTTAAAGGTGATAACCAACACCTTGAATTGGACCTGGAAGCAAACCGGCACCCAATGCAGCTCCTGCAGGAAAGGTGTAACATGTGCCATCTTAGGGGCACCCAAGATTACCCACGCGGCCACATTGTGCACCAGTTGTAGCTTCCAGATACTCTTCAAGGATAGCCCCACGTAGAGCACATTGCAGTAATCTATACAGGAGATGACTAGGGCATGAGTGATTGACCAGAAGGCCTCCTGATCCAGGAAAGGGTGTAACTGGTACACAACACGAAGTTGAGCAATGGCCCTCCTGGTCATGACTGCCACCTGCTTCTTGAGCAGGAGTTGAGAGTCCAGGAGGACCCCCAGATTACGCACTGAGTCTGTCTGGGGCAGTGCAACCCCATTGAGAACCAAAGATGGTAAACCCCCAGATACAGAGGAGCCTCCAATCCACAGCCACTCTGTCTTAGCAGGGTTCACCTGAAGCCTGTTCGTCCCCATCCAGACCCCTACAGCCTCCAGGCTCTGCAAAAGGGTGGTCACAGCATCACTTAAATCACCCGGGATGGAGATGTATAATTGGGTATCATCTGCAAATTGATACCTCATCCCATGGTGGGAGATGATCTCACCCAGTGGTTTCATGTAGATGTTAAAAAGGAGCAGAGAGACTACTGAACCCTGCAGCACCCCACAAAGGAGGGGCTGAGGTCTGGACCGCTTGCTCCCTATCAACACTGATTGGGACTAGCCTTGAAGGAAGGAGGTGAACCAGCGCACAACTGTGCCACCCACCCCCAACTCCCCAAGCCAACCCAAAAGGGTACCGTGGTTGATGGTATCGACAGCCGCTGAGAGGTCAAGAAGGATGAATGCACTACCCACATCCTGCTCCCACCAGATCATTCAAGAGTGTGACCAATGCTGTTTCTGTCCCATATCCGGGCCTGAATCCCAACTGAAAAGGGTCCAGATAATCCATTTCATCCAGGATCCTCTGGAGCTGCAATTAAGTATACATTCTTCATAGTTCCTTACATCCCCTTATATTTCCTTACATGAAGAGCAGAAAATGCTGAAAGCAGTAAAACTTGCATATGCAAACAAGCCATAAGTATTGGTAGACCTCCACTCTTTCCCAAAGAATCCCAATTTGCTGTGCAATAAATTGAAGCTGACACAAGTAAAGGGCACCAACCATTCTCCACAAAGCAGATGCATTTTATTTTGCTATACTGTGTAGAGCAAGAAAAAGAAATCTAACATCCTTTGTTTCTAGCTTAAGTATTTATTACTTAAAATATATGGCTTGTCCTTTAACTAGTAAAGATCAGAATTCTGTTATATGATGGAAGTCAGAGGGAGCCACTGACACATTTTTTTAAAAAATTCCAGACACCTCCAGTTTAAAAAAAAACAAAACTACCCTGGATTTTGCCAAGTCCTCCACAATCAACACAACCCATGAAGAGATTTGCTGGACCACATTTTCTTCTTAAAAGTACATTTTTTATTATTTTTTTTCTCATGTTAAAGAACAAATGAAATGTAAGTTCTGGAAATTAGAAGTCATCTGGACGCTGCAGATTTTGCAATAACTCCTTTAGGGCTTTCTCTCATTTTCAAATATCCCAGCTGTTCTCCCCACATTTGTCTTTTTAATGCCAATACTACAGAAAGAGAAATATTTCCTAAAGATTATTGAGATAAAATAACATATCTTATGGGGAGGGCAGGGAAGGTATGATAGCTGGTTGTGAGAGAAGACAAGTAAAAAGTTATGATATATCAACGTCTCTTGATACACTGGATTCTGTGTCTTGACTTGTGCATCCCAAGAAGTCTTTTAATGTACCAGAAAAGAGATTTCCACTTTTTTATCGTTTGGCTGCTTTAGGTTGTGCTTGGGAGTTCTGCAGCAATGCCAGTGTGTCTCGTTTTTCAATGCGCCGCAAATGTTTCTTCTTTGCACGCTTCAGTTTTAGGGGATTTCGAATCTGAAAAAAAAAAGAGAGAAATATTGGTCTCATCACATGTACACTTAAAAACTTTCTGAAAAGCAATCAACCAAGCGAGAGGCTTCCAGAATGTTATCCAAATTAGTTTTAAAAAACTCCAAAAATAGAACATGAAGTTTTGTTGTTGTTTTTTTTTTAGAAAAAACAGCTTTTCCACAGAAAAGGATAATTATTAAACTTTGTGAAAGGTGACCCCGTCTAAGGAAAACAACAGATTAAACTCTACACATGCAAGAGGGAGTGAAGGAAGACCTTAGTACAATTGGCGCGCGCACACACATACCACCAGTCAGGCTCCTTCATGCACAAATGGTCACCTGGCAACACACAATTCCACTAGTCAACAGCAGATGGAGAAATATGAAAGAGAGCCAGCCCATCAGCTTTGCACTGCTTGGCTTTCCTTTCCCTACCCCCAAATACTTATTGTAAGACACTGTAACTGAAAAGCATGGGTTTTTTCCCCTTTCTTCCCTTCCAACTTCTTTTATGCAGAAAGGAGATAAACTGTCTGCTTGGACTTGGTACTATCTGTTCAAATGTATAAGACCCTTAATGAAAACAATACAGACGTTCAACCACATTAACATGGTACCAGCCCGCCGATGATCCCACTTGTAGGGCTATATAACTTCACATGTTGGTATGCCTCTGACCTTTTCTATGCTGCAAGACTGGTACTTATGATGTCCCAACAGTATGGAACTCCGAATAAACTTGGTAATAAATTATTATCAGTGTAACATAATTGTCTGCTTGGACTTGGTACTCTCTCTCACACTTGGATCAGAGCCAGGGTAATTGAAAGAAAAGGTCAGGTGAACTCCCATAGCACGCTATCAATGCCAAGGAAGAGAACAGTTCAAGAGACATTCAAGGTACAGAAGTTCTCTGCAATGGATCCTATCAAGTGCCCTTGAGGCTCCCTTATTAATGGCTCAGATCCAAATCCTAGCATGCATCTCTCTTGTTGACTCATTCTCATTCAAAAGGAATCTCTATGGCAGAAATGCAGGAAATTGGTTCAGGCAGATTTAAATTTAAACTCAGCCTAGGGCGCAAACTGAACCTCCAGGATCCTATCTACCTACCTAATGCTTCAGGCCGGGAGGGAGAGGGGCAAAGTCCCTGCAATTATGGCTGCCAAAAATCAGCAGCACTGTTCTCCATGTTTTTGAGTTGGGAAATATGTGAAGTTAAAATAGGCTTAATATCTCCACCCCAAACCAGAAAATCTATCTGCATACAACTGTTGTACAATTTCATTTGCTTTGGATTGTCAACCCCTCCTACTGAGGCCTTTGTGCCCCCCTTCCCCCAAGAAAAATTAAGTGCAGTTTCCTTTCACCAAAAGATTTCCCAGCCTAAGCAAGAGAGAGTGAAATTATATTTGTATAGTTACTGGATTAACAATCCCACCTCCACCCCTCAAAACACTCCTCCTTCATGGCAATGAGGAAGCATAACTTATTATATACTGCTGCTGACTATATACATTGTAATATATTTCTATCAAGTCAAGTAAAAAAATGACTAATTATGAAATACAGTAATGCTTCCACTCTTCTTCAACCAAGGAAGGAAGGAGTTTTCTTTCTGGACGAAAATAACTTGATCCAAAACTCACCACTTGCACAACCTCTGCTTTCCGCTCATTTTCTAGCCGTCTTTTTAAATTGTCCCTCCTCCGCTGCTTTTTCTCCTGAAAGAAAAAAAAGATACAACGTTTATGCATACTACTTTATATGTCACAGTCTAGACAAAAAACCAGTATGTCCAGACAGATTAATTCCAAAGTGGTCAAGGAAAATACAAGAATACAAAGAATGACAGAAAAAAACCTAATATGTTCAGCTTCATGAAGCCAAAAAGCCAAAAGCTGAATTTATTAATTACTGTCAAGAGTAAGTAGTAGAGAAAGTAACACAGGAAAAAAGTTTTATTGAGTTGCTTCTCACTTTAAAAGTTCTCATGCATAAACTTTTGCTAGACTGATAAGCATCAATCACTTTTTATGAGGTCCCCAGAAGTTTCTTTTAAGCGGGACACAAGAAGACTTTAGAATCTATGTGATGAGACCCTTATTGTAATGAGGAAAACCAACATTTGCGGGATTTATATAAGACAAAGGTGGCTCAAACCAGGCCTGATTTTTAAATAAAGTAAATTGGCCCTAATTATTCTTTTACTTGAATTGACTGAACTGGGGGGGAGAGTATTTTTTCACACTGGCACATGTCAGCAGCATCTGAGCAGCAGCAACATCAAAGTGACCATATGTGATACTCTGCCATCATACAAGTGACATGATTACGAATTATGTCATGACATCTAATGCAAGTGTTATTTCCCCCATCTTTTCCCCATGGATGCCCATGTTGCATATTACGTGATTTTGTTTATGACATAAATGAAAAAAGCATCAAGCTCTAGTGTATGTCCACTAAGTCTTTCTTAATATATAAATAGGATCCTCATGAAGCTCTGTTAACATTCAATAACAAAGATATGCAGAAATTCAGAAATGGGTCAAATACTTCTTCACGAAATAGTAGTATCATCAAAGTTATGCATGTATGCCTGAACAGGGTGGCAGCCCTATCCTAAACTTTTTACATCAGAAGCAGAACACAACTTCTTATGTGTCAAATTCAAAATAGCTACATTATGTCAGTCTGCAGGAGGATGAAGGCACATGGATTAGATATAGCAAGCTAACAAATTATGTTCACATTTCTTGTACAGCATCAGAACAGAGGGTGTGAGTTCAACAGACTTAGGACCAGTCCTTTCCTGCTCATTCAGTCCATAACTAAGTTAGAGTGACAAAAGATACTAGTGAAGATGGTGACCGGGCTGAGAGATGCTTGGGGAATAACACTATGGACCTATTATATTTACTTCCAGACATTTGAGACAAACATTATTTTTTCCTTACCTCACGCTCCCTTTGTTTTTGTTCCTTCAGCTCCTGGGCAAAATTTTTGATGAGCTTCTTTTCCTGACGTATTTTCATCTTTTGTTTCCAGGAAGTATGTAAAGGCTTGTCTTGGATCATGTGGGAAAATCTGGGGAGATGGGGACATTTATACCATCAACTAAAAATAAGAGCTAAGCTTTAGTATTAGATGATATCATCTTGTGAGACAGCCATAGTTTGTCTTAGCAAAGCCTTACTGAATAACTATGATTGATATTCTGCTGTCTCTGAGGTTTGTATATTTTGAAATTTTTTATAAGATTTTAATTTTAGTAATTACTTTTTATCTTTTTATAATGGTTTTTTATCTATTTGCTGTTTTATTTAATTGTTGTATGCTGCCCAGAGTTGCTTTGTGTGAGATGAGCAGCTATATAAATGTGACAAATAAATAATGAAGTTGGCACAATACACTGAGCCATAAACTAGAACTAAACCAAACAATCTTAGTAAAGTTTAGCATGTTGAGTGAAGCAGGTCTATGATCAGAGTCCTGTGTGCTCTTACTTGGCAAGGAGTCCCAAGTAAACAAAAGGTTACTTTCACACATCAAAAAACATTACCATAACAAATAAGAATATTAAAACCATCCTGCCATTTTAGTCCCTGTGAGCCACCAAAGGCTGTTTATTCAATATAAGCCCTCTAAAATTTACACTCACTTTGAACTGAGGATAAATGTCAACATTTTAAGGCTCTTGTTTTTGTAACATTTAGTCTGCATGTTAGATAGGCATGAGGTGTATATGATAAACTCTAGCTAGGAGAACTGACCAATACACAGTGCTTCTGTCAGCCCAAGTCCCTCTAATTCAGTGTTCCTCAGCCTTAGCAGCTTTAAGATGTGTGGACTTCAACTCCCAGAATCCCCCAGCCAAGCTAGGGAATTCTGGGAGTTAAAGTCCACACTTTTTAAAGTTGCTGATGTTGAAAAAACTGCTGTAACTGCTCCCCTATTCCCCCCAAGATGCTGTGTCCAATCACCTGGCGACCAAGATCTTACCGCTTTTTGCTGAGGTCTTTCCACACCCGCCCAGATTTAGGCCTTCCTTTGGGGATAGGTGGCGCCTCCTTCCGCTTCTTACCCAAAGCAGCTACTTGCAGCTTCCCAGGTCCAGCTTCCACTAAGGCGACAGCCCCTTCCTCATTCCCCAGCTGCTGAAGTTGCTCACCCTGTCCCGCCTCTGGAGACAGTCGGTCGGCCTGCAGCTGCTCCTCAGCGATAAGCGCTGCCATTTCCTTCCTTTCTGTCTCTTCGCTACAGACTTCCAGCCAACAAACACGCTTTCTCCATGTGTGTCCCCACGAGGAAGACTGCCGAAGGGCCCTATCTGATGACGTCCCACGTGCGACGCAAACGGATGCGCAGAATTACCCACGAGACAGCGCCCCTTTGTGACGATAAACGGCGAATATTCATTGGAGGTTACATAGGAACTAGAGCTGTTCCTTGGCTAGAAAGAGGGTACGTCTCACTCGTTCTTGAATATAATTTCCGGTGTCCGCTACCTGTAGCGGAATCCATATGCGGGGCAAGAGTGGTGAAAATTCAGTACAATGGTCTTCCACAATGTAATATCCTGTGTGTTGGGACTACAGTATTATGGTCAGAATTCCGGAACGCATGCTGGCTGGGCATTATGGGCGTTGTAGTCCCGATATATCTGGAGAGCGCTTGGTTGCGAAGGCTCCATTAAAAATACCGTTATACACTCAATTAAAGCTGGTAGTTGAAAGTTTTCTATTTCGCACGGCTTTTAAACATTTGTCTAGACCTAGAAGTATAAAGGGCTTTCGAAAAGGGTGTTGCTTATTTTCTTCCTTTTTTAGAAGAAAAATATGGTGAAATATAACAGTAACAATAATAATAATAGAACAGTGATAATACTATTACCTGGAATTTTAGGCTTCATTATTAGCATTTTTAATAGGTGATACTAGCATACAAACTACCACTACTATTTTTTTTCTAAACAGACACTGGTAAACAAAATTGGCTAGGATGGGGAACTTTTAATTGTTGTCAACTAAAACTTATGAAACTTTTGAAACTTTTTTTTTGTGAAAAGAAGAAAAAAAATGAGTACAGGTATTGTTGGGTACAAGTTTCGGATGAAATTTGTCCCTGCAATCCAGAAGTCGATTGTAACACTGACCTTCTCCTTGTAATTCGGCCAAGAAGCAAAATTAACCCTATTAAGAGTACTTGAAGAAATACCAGGAAAGCAATAATTCAGAACTCTGATGAAACTCATTCTGTATTTTACCCCAAACATTAAAAGAACTTTGAAGCATGCGCAGCTTATTGTTAAAAAAATGAAAAAGATCTTAAAGCTATAGCAGTTTTCCTTTTCTGAATTAACTTGCCACTGACATTTGCATTTTTTTTTCTTCTTATAAATATTGCTCAAGGTAGAGTAATAAGCCAATTGGAAAGATGACAGCAATTATTGCAAGGGTGTAACTTGAAACCATCAAAGCAGTAGAAGATTTGGTACCCAGCAAATACTACTACCATGACCTTACAATGAGAATAATCAGCCTTTGTTTTATTTAAGAATATGTAAGTAATAGAACAATATATTTGTTGTTGTGTACTTGTCTCCCTGTTGAATGGTTTGCTTGAATTCTACATGAACCTTCCTACCTGTACACCAAGACTCTCTCGCTTTCTTCCAGCTGAGAAATAGGAAGGAAGAATTCCTGTGTCTCTACAGGGCTGTGATGGACAGCATGTAGGAACAAGCAGGGAGGTTTTTGCTGTTGTTGTTGCATTGTTAATGTTAAGGTGCCAGTGTTTTCTGTTTGTGGGCATTTGCCTGTGTCCATCTGTGTGTGCATGTAAAATTGAAAAACTGTTTTGAATTGTGAAGACAAATTCTAAAAATATACATCTGTCTGTCCCTTTTAAAAGCTGAGTCTTTCTGTAGTGAACGCAGATTCTGGCCATGCCTATATCCACCGTTCATTCTGGTGTAAGTTTTGTATATGTTTTGTGATTTGTGTATATTTGAGTGCATATTAGAAGTAAGAGGTTTCTGTTCTCATTTATTCTTCATTGTTTGGAGTGTGTGTGAATTCCTCCCATTTTGCCTTAGCTTCAAACAGGCTCAAGGCCCCCTCCTTTTGCTTGCCTCTCGCCTTGTTATATTGATTGAAGGTTAAAAGGAAGAGGACTTCCACAGAAAACAGCTGGAAGCTAACCTTTTTTTTCCCAGGATTTTTTGCAATACTTTCATATGCATCAAATACAATCCTTTGAGTGTGCACCAAGATTTCACTGAGTGTCTCTGTATGTGCAAAGTGCAAACCATGTAAGATTGAGATTGCCTTATCCTTGCATTTTTGAGACTAAAAATTGATTCCTGTTGAATTACCATCATTTAGAAACTATGACTTTGTTTCCAGTGGCTATAGTTCTTTGCAGGCCACGTTAAAAAAAGAAAAGACTACTGGAACTTATCCCCAGGGACCATTTCCATCTAATGACAGCTGCAACACAGCAGCTCCCAACTGGATCTTCACTTCTCCACCGCCAGCTCCTCCAGTGCAGCAGTTTCTTGTTGACACTGCACGGTACCAAATGAGTATATGGGAAGCGAAGGAAACAGTTAACGAAGCTGCAATTTTGCCTATTGAACCTTCTGATAGAGGTGAGCCTTCTATCATGTTATAAATTGAAGGAGAAGATTACAAATGTTTGCTTGGTGCAGAGCTTCTTGTTCTTTGTTGGCTGTGCACTGGGGAAAGCTGATTTTGACTTGCAGGGATTGGGAAAGGTAATTGGAATGGGGGGAAAGGATTTGATGTTGAGGAAATCTGTGCATTAACTATTGGTATGTTGTTTTTTTTAAGCATGCTTTTCTTTCACCTGACAAGGTTGTAAATGGAGAGCCACCATCCACTGTCCTCTCGGTAACCTAAACTTTTCCTTGCCTGTTAGCTTCTCTGTTTAAATTGTCAGTAGAGCCTTTTTGATTACCTCCTCAGCTTGCAGTTATTCCTGAATCACTCTGGGGTTGGGCCTCTTTTGATTTTAACATGTTTTAAAACCCGCTGAAGCTACCACAGACACCTGACTTTAGTTTCGCAGAGTGGGGTCACAAAGCTTCGCCAGCCAAGCTACAGTTTTGTTTGCCTAAAGTCACTTACCTGGACTATATTATACATCCGGGCACAAGAGAACTTCTCCCTGCCAGAGTGGGTGCTCTTCTTCAACAACCAGGTAAGAGCCTTACTTGGAACTCTGGGTTTCTGTAAACCTTGGGTACCAGCATTTGGCAAGCTGACTAAACTTTTCTTTTGTGGCTTTGACTTAAAGAGCGACTTGTAGCCCACTGTTCTGTACAGCTGGACCTTGTTACTCAGGGTGCAGCAGGATGCCCCAGAGCTTTGGCTGCTACTGTCCTTCCTGTTCAAATATCAGAAGACCTGGTTATGGGTTTTCTATTAACTGTTTTTTGTTCCTTATGAGGTTGCTGAACTCAAGCCTTTAGCTGCTTCTGAAGCAGAGCTTCTAGGTACTCTGAACATGACTTTGAAGTGGTGTACAATTTTGAATCCTGCAACTCTGCTTCCTGAGGCTACAGACGAAAGAATAACGGTTTGCAGACCATAAACCTGGTAGAAAAACCATGTTCACTAATGTGCCCCTACAAAATCCTGACTTTGAACTCTTTTCGGATGGATCTTCCTTTGGGGTTGACGGAGTCTGATTAACAGGGGCTGTGATTTTTTTTTAATCTGCTGGGCAGAACCCTTGCCACTTTCCTGCGGGCCCAAGCAGCTGAACTTACTGCCTTAATTCAAGCTTGTTATATTGCCAGAGACAAAACTGTTAATGTCTTCACTGACTCTAAGTATGCTTTTCGTGTTTGCCATGGAAGGTGAGAGGGTTCTTCACCTCAGGTTGCCAGATTGCTCACACAGGCCTGGTTGTACTTCTCCTTTTATTACTAAAGACAATCACTTTGCTGATCAGTTTGCTAAATAGGCTGCTCAACAACCTTGTGTATTTCAGTCTTTGCACCTGAGTTTCAAGTTTCCTCTGCTATTGCTTATGAGAAGTTTCTTTCAGATGCTGGGACTGCTATTTGCAATGTCTCTATGATGCTCCTTGGAACGGATCCTTCTGGATGGTTCCTAATGGGCGACCGATTGCCCCACGTGCTTTTCTTCATCTTCTGGCTCAGCAATTACATGTGAAAGGATGTTGTGGTACCCAAACTATTGTAGACTGGCTTGCTCCTAGAGCCTTTGTGGAAACTTCCAGGAGTTTCTTCTAGACCAAGCACTCACACAGGGGTCTTCCCTGCCATCTCAGTGCATCCATGGTTGAGGGGGAAGGGGGAGATAAACTAACTGCCACACAATTTCTATCCTTATAGAAGCAGCACAGAGAGTTCTGGAAGGTGGTTAGGGCTACAGTTCCTCTGAATAACAAGATCCATCCATTTCAGCCAGGAGAATTTGTGCTACTAAAAAAGTTCCATTGCAAAACTCTCATTCCAGCATGGGAGGGCCAGTTCCAGATTTCACTGATTACCCAAAGCCACTGTCCTGGTGGAAAAGAAAGGTTCCTGGATTCGTCACAGATGGGGATTGTTGGACTCTTGGAACTTGCCTGATGAACTTTTTTTTAATCTTTGTAGACTTATTACTTTTCAGCAACCATGACTTCTGTTGGACTTTTGCTTCTTTTGTAATTTTTTTTTTCAACAAATGGGATGGGACAGGCTGGGAGAGCAGTATTCTTGTTCAGTTTAAGCTTCATGCAATTAAAGGAAAAATGCTAGTCTGTAAAATAAACTTGTTGGATTTCCTCCTTATAGATTTCATGGAGGTAAGGGATATCCTCTTTTTCCTGTGCTCTAAGTACTGATTAGTGAATAAATCACATTATTGCATTCGATTTCACTATTATGCAGGAACACTCCAATGCCCCAATCTATTTGCAAAGCACATTAATTGCTCAAATGTGCAAGTGGTGTTTCTGCCATACTTGTATTAATCCAGCTAATTATGAAGCAGTTTGTGATGTTACACTGCAAACCTGCAAAGGGCAAATAGCCAAACATAATGGCACTTACACTTTAAAGAATGTTGCCTGGGCCTTGACATACAACACTGAAGGCACCAGATTACCTGATGGATCGTGATGGACTTGTGGCATTCACGGTTTTAAATCTCTACCGAAGTACTGGCAAGGAATTTGTACTAATTCTTGGCTATGGCCTGGAGAGATTCATCTGGTCTCACCACCAGAAAGTAAATAGTCATTTAATCATAACTATAGAACACGGAGGGTAATTGCTGTACACAGAGTAAACACTATGAACTATAAAGACATTCTTAATTTGACTGCATTTGTTGTAAATCTGTCTCTAATTTTTGAAGTCTTTATTAATGATACCCTCACAGAGCCATAAGCTGCTTCAGGATGAAAGCGTCTGGCAACCTGAGGTGAAGAACCCTCTCACCTTCCATGGCAAACACAAAAAGCATACTTAGAGTCAGTGTCTTTCTCTGAAAGACACAGTATTGCAAAATAGGCTGGCCTTAAATCAGTTACTAGTAGAGCATAGGGAGTCTGTATGTACGTTAATCAAATGCTTTTTGCTTTGCCTGAATTACTGGATGGTTTGTATTTTCAGGTAGGCTAAGAAGCCGCCTTTGCAAAGGTAAAATGGTTTTCTCTCCCAAATTCAGGGAACAGGTCTTCAGCTCGACGCCACTTGGGGTGCCTGAGTTTTAAAGGCAACAGTACTATCAAAGTTAATACACAATAGTAATTAAAATATACTAAAAGCAGACCGAGAGAGAGATCCATTTAATATAAGATTAAGTCAATCCTTTATTTTCTTCGTGGTGTTCATGATTTGGGCTGACCCCACTTGAGACTTTAAATCTTTCACACCAGCATTAATTTAATGGAGTTATAGCAGAATAGAAATTAAACCCACTGCTCTGTTGCCATGAAAAGTGTCGTATTTGCCACCAGCCTGCCCGAAAATTAAACATACAGAATAAGGGAAGTTTCAGCTGTTTGGAAGAATACATATTTTAATGGCCATTAATGTATCCTTTGTGTTTAGTATATTTTATTTATTTTCATTTAAGTTTAAATTAAAGGCCTGCTTTTAGCAGTTAAATTTTCCTTACTCACTTCCTAATTGCTAATTGAATTAGAAAAATCCAGTTAGGAAAAAAATCCCTTTTGTTTGTTTGTTCATCTCTTAGACCAGGGATACCTAGCCATCTCTGAAGCTCCCACTTCTGGTTCCTGGCTGTGGCAGACAGTTTCGGGGAAGGATTCTAAGCAGATTGATGACCTTAGTCAGTGAATGAAGGCTTCAGCCATGGTTACTGTTGCTTCTAACAGTGAGACACTTATAATATATACAAAATACTATTTTGAATAACATTGCTATTAATGTGTTAAGACAAGACAGTTCCTGAAGCCTTGGCAAGCTACTTCTAACTTTCTGATGTTGACATCTCTAGGTAAAATTGATAGTTTGCTATCAGTTAAAATTTGAACTAATTTACTTATTGAAACTCCTGATCTGTTTTTTAACAGGAAAGTTGCTTTTGAACTCATTGGAATTTGCTGTGTACAAAAGCAGAGCATGTAAGCTTATTTTGAAAAGTTGCCAAACCTGATCAAACTATATAAAGATGAGGCAGATCCTGTTTTGTTTCATATGTGAGAAATGTATATGTGAATTTGTAAAAGAAAATGAATTTGACATCATTTTCATATTCTACTGTAATATTTCAAATGCTCAGTGCTTAAGCAGAAGCTCAGATGATTAAAAAAGAGGTTTACGTGGCACACAGACTAACAAATTGATGATTGTATAAATTTCTGTGGATCATGGTCCACATTATGAGGTGCATGGATTTGTTGTGTTGCTACAAATGATGGCTAACTCCCTGGAATAAAGTTATTAAGATATGTAGAAGCATTTTTAAATTATTGATTTTTTAACCTGTCTTTCTGTTTATATCAATGCTTAAGTTGTTTTACATATTAAACATAGAATATAAAATAATATTAATGCAATCAAAATAAAAAACTGAAACTAAACTCAATACCATTACCATTTCCTAGATAACCTTTAATCAAGCTTCTGGCAATGAGAATCTTCAGAAGCATCTCTCTGGTTGATTTAAGTAATTGGTCAGATTAATTAACAAGAGTCGTAGTTCCATGAATAATGAGCCATTGAGAGGCAAAGTATGATTTGTCAGATTATCATATTTCTTTCCTTGTTTGAGATTCTCATTCTCATTCTCTCTCTCGTTGGTGCACTGACTGTAATTATATAAACATGCTCCTTAATGTCACTATGACCTCTAAATTCTGTGACAGCTGCAGGTCAAGGAATAGTCCCAAACTGCAAATCTGGTTTTTCTGGGGGAGCATAACCCTACCCAGAACAGGCTTTACTTTACTCTCCAAGTTTCTCTTCTCTGGAGTCAACTTAAGCTTGTCTCATCCAGCCCATTAAGGCAAATTTAATGGGTACTGATTGCACTCTTGGGGTAGGGAAGCAGCAGAGATGGGAGATTCCAGCATACTGAATGCTTTCATAAGGTGTTAAACAGCACAGAGGACAAGAGAATTCTGTGAAACACCAAAGATCAATCATCTAGGTGTCAAACAATAACATTACCTTCTAATACCTCCTGACAGGGAGGACTGGAACTTCTACAAAGCCTAATCCTGCCAGACACTCCAGAAAGTTACGATGGTTAATTGTCTCAAAAGTTGCTAAGAGGTCCAGAAGAACTAGTAAGGTTATATTACCCACATAGAGTTTCCAATGTAGGTCATCCACAAGAAAACCAAAGCAGTTTCAGGAACATATTCTAAATAAAACTCCTTACCGAATTTGCTCTGAAAATCAGTTTCATTCCAATGCACGTGGAACTTTTGGGCTCCCACTGTCTCAATCACCTTACCCAAGAATAGAAAAATTAAGCCTGGTCTATAATTATTATAAAGATTTTCTCTTTTTCAATAGAGATCTTATAGCTACCTCCTTTAAGCAGGAACACATCCTACACACAGAGACCCTGGTCACCTCCCTTAACTGTGGTGCCTAGACTGGCCAATTTCATCAGCCAGGAAGGGCAAGGGTCAAGCAAGCTGATGATGGCCTCATCTCTCTACACACCTTCTCTATGTCCTCAAGAGCTGCAAGCTAAAAAGAATTTATATGAACCTGGCAAGCAGTTGTCAAGGTTACCTGCGATCTACCCCAAACCTGGAGTCCAGATTGAGGTAAATCCAGTTGACTTTGCAGATAAAGGTGAAAATTGCTTACAATTAGCCTCTGAAAGTTCTAGCACTCTTCCTCTAACATATTGATGGAGAAGTTGCACAGTATGAAAAAGCATAATTGGCCTGTTCGTGCAGATGCCGTGGAGGCAGATAAGCAAGCCCTGTCTCTGCTGCCATGGACTAGGGTTTCAAATGGGCCTGAAATAGGGCCCATTCCCTGTTCAATCTGATTCGTGACAAGAAGTCCTCATGCAGTTACAATCTATGTTACAAATGCACTTTTAAAGCGCTATTATGATTAATTGGCAGCTTATTTTACTTAAAGGTGTTTCTATGAAGAAACAGAAGGACGTGGATTGCATGTCAAGATTTATTAGATGGTTTCGATTGTGTAACACCAGATTTCATCAAATTGTGGATCTGCCAGGCTATAACAGGAATTACAAGAATGTGAACTTCTAATGATTCCTGTTACTAGAAGTTTTTGCCTTACATTTATTAGCATGCTTACTCACACCAAGGTATTTAGTTTTATAATCTGAATATACAAAAACAAACAGATTACGGTGTTAATATAATAAAAAATTATTCAAGGATACTAGATTAAAAATATAGGACTGTAGAGAGATCCTGATTCAAAAATGCCTGGAAGAGTGTACCGAATACCTGCTAGGAACATTCTAAAGCTAGTGCACCTTCTACTGTGTCCTGCAGCTGTCCTCCACAATTGATACACAATCCTGGGAAAAGATGATTTAATTTACAGTATTCCTGGCAAGTGCTACATATGCAGGCCCACATTCTTTAAATCACGTTTTCCTTTCAGAGCTGGATCTTTGCATAATCCTAACAAAAGACTAGAAAATTGGTTTAGATCAAGTACAAAGATTATTTCTGATAAATATACAGTGTTAATACACATTCTCCAAAGTAGTATAAATGCAATGGTTAAGAATACTTCCTTCAGTGCAAACATGGCAAGTCACATTTACACAGCAGATTAGAAAACTAAAGGCGCTTCTCATCTTACTTTTTTCCATTACTTAAGTACATGTGATATTTCAGTTTTTCCCTTTTAATACATGTACAGACATTTCTAAACTTCTGTTTTCACTTTGTCATTATGGGGTACTGAGTGTAGAT